CTGCTGCTGCTGCTGCTACTACTACTACTGCTGCGGAGGAGGGGGAGGGGGCGGTGGAGGAGGATGAAGAGGAGGAGGAGGAGGCGGCCGGCGCCAGCAGCAGTCAAGGTGAGCGTGTGCCAGGCCCCGCAGCGCCCCCGGGCACCGCCACCCCGGGCACAAGCCGGGAGGGAGAAGAGACAAGGGGCAGGTTTGCCTCCTCGCGCGCCTTCCTCCCCCGCGGTAAAAAACCGGGGTCCGGAGCGCGCTGCGATGTCTCCAGTGTGGTTTCTGCGTGCGTCGTTGCCCCCGGAGCGCTGCGGGGCTGAGTCCCGATCCGGCTGGCAAGGCCGGCCCGTTTAATAATAACAAAAAAAAATACGCAGGTGGAAACTTTTATCAGTCGCGCTTGAACAGAAGGTGACGGTTGTTTGCCTGGCCTCGGCTGCTTTCTCGTGAATCCACCTGCGTTCAGGATAGACGGACGATAGTGATGTTCGATTTCGTAGACGTTGGGGCAGGAAGGGACCGTTGAGTCCAGCCCCCTGCCCCAAGGGCAGGAAGTCAGCTGGGGTGAAAGGGTCCCAGCGGGGTGAGCGTTGGATGAAACTGTGGCAAGCCGGGTTGTGGGCAAGCCTCCTGTCCTGGTAGACACCTGCCGTTTCTATCTCTGTTTGTTTATTTTATTACATGCTGGCATTCAGATGCTCCGCAGCTCGACTAAACTCAAATGTATGCTCACGGTGCAACCAGCAGTTTTAGAGCTGGGTGTATGGATGAGAAGGGAACCGTGAAGGGGGATTTGGTTTGGCCTGGAGTCTTTCGTTCACCCTCGCGAGGGGCTCGGTCCTGCTCGCGGTGAAGTCAGCCGGAGTTTAGAAGCTGATGCCTGTGCTAGCAGGTCCCATGCCCGAGATGAAGTCAGGTTTGTACAAGCACAGAGTAGACTTCATACTGACAGGGGCAGTGGGGAGTCACAAATAGGAGGTCAGTTGGAAAGGAACTGGTTTTGGAGCCTTTGAAAAAGTACCTGGGGGTCAGTGGAGGGATTAGAGACAAGCAATGGTTTCTTGAACAAATAGCCACATGACCCCCACCCACAACAAAGATGCATGGGTCCGCCCACCTTTGAACTTGATGGCAGAGCTTCCACTTGCTTCTGGGGAAGCAGGGTCAAGTTCGTGCTACCTTGATAAGGGTAAGTGTTGTGGACCCAACGAGGCTTAAGGAACAGATCCGTCGAACATGCATCAAACAGCCGTCTCGCTGTGACCGCTAATTAAATATTCTCTGGGGGAAGCAAGCTGCTTGTAGAGAGACATGGAAGATGTGTCTTTGGTTTGAATGGATGTAAAGACTGTTTGGCTCCAGGGGAGAGGAAAAACATAGGCTGTCCTCTCCTTTACCTTGGGTCAACTCTGCAGCAGCCAAATGAAGGTGGTGTGCACGGCACTTGTTCTTGGCTTGAACAGAACAATGCACAGGGGAGTGAGGGGGAGAGCACATCCCTCCCTTCACACCAGCCAGCAGAGCTGGGTAGATTCAGAGAGGAGACTATGTTGGACCTGCTGTTAGGAGCTCAGTAGGGCATTATGACCCCTGGAGAACTCCCTGACTGGTACCTTAAAGGCAGAGCTGATATCTAAGAGTAAGTGGTTCTTTTCCCTTCTCTCCACCTCCACACACAGGCATCATTGCACTTGGGCTGGGATTTAATGGTAGTTGAATGAACTAGGATACAAATGGAGAGTTTGTATTTGGGATATGCAAAAAATCAGTTTGCTGAAAGGAGGAGAGGCCTTTGCAGATACAATATCTGATTTCCACCTGAGTGTTTTTAAAGACCTTAAAGCCCTTTCCATTTTGGGAGGCCCTTATAACACAGTCAGCTCAGCTCTAGGCCTGAAGCTGTTCCCTTTGAATCCAGTGGCGCTGCATTGATTTACACCAGCAGAGGATCTGATCCTTGTTTTTGTATTGCTTGTTTCATATGAACAGTGTCCCCAAAGTGCCTTGGAACTAAATAAAATAAGAAGGTAAGGAGTTGGACAAATGAAGAGGCAAAGGCAAGGGCAAAAACTTCTGTTTTCTGCTGAGCTTAGACATGAGGTGCTGCATCAGCAGAATGGACCATGCTGTGCTCTCTTAACCTTTTGTGCTTTCATCTACTTCTACGGAAAACTGAAGGCCCAATCTGCCCTAATCTAAAATGGACAAAACTCCACTGAAGTCCGTGGAGCTGTGCCTATTTATTCCAGTAGAGAATTTGGCTCTAAAGCTTTAGAAATGCAGATTACTTTAATCAATACATACATAAGTACCCTAGCACTAAATATACTTTTTTCAAGGAGTATTGAATTAATTACAAGGATGTGAAACATTCTTTGATGTGATCTTTGATGTGATGGGAAAGAACAGCGAAATATGTTCTTTCCCTTTTTGTTGCTGTCATGTAAGTGATATTAGTCAATCTGTCTGATTTGGCTAGAAGTGCAATCAGTCGATGGCTTCTCTCCTTTCTATGCTCTCACTTTTTTTTATTTCTGTCTTTTTTTCTATTGCAATTTGTCTCTGTCCTGGTGAAGATACAGGATGGTTTAATGTTGGGAATTGTAGGTAAGACTACAGACGGCTGTATTTTCTTAGATCAAAAACCACTTTGTCTGTTGCCCTATGGTTAAACTTCTTCGGCTCAGTCAACACACTAATCTACTAAGTTGCGGTCTCTGGAATGTGTAGTTTGAGCATGAGGATCTCAAGTATAGAGGGTGAATATGCACATTGTATTGAAACATGTCAAGTAAATAGTCTCCATGTGATTCTGGGTTTAGGTTTTCCTCTGCAAACATTGAAATGTATCAAGAGGGAAGCTGATTTGAATTAGTAGTAGGGATGTAACCAACAGCCAACATTTTTATTGTCATTAATGGAAGTAGTGTATTGTCTTCAAGACAGATAATGCAGTGTCAGAAGATGCTGTATTTCTGTTACTGCTTCTAGAAGGACAGTTCTTTGGAGGCGGCATGTCTCTGAATAATGTAAAAACAGCACCTGCTAAGAGTAAGAAAACCATGACCTTGAGTTCATGTTTTCACTGCGGGGCACCAGCATTGCTTATGTGGACAAAATTACAATGACCACACATGGGTGACACCCGGCACGAGAAGAAATATCAAAACTAGTAAGAAACACTCTTTCCTGTTCCCTGCATGATCTTGCATAATCTATACGTCACCCTGGCATGCTTGCCTAAATGTATGGTTTCAGCAAAGGACTGGCACCAGGAGTTTGTCTTTGTGGTGCAAGGTAGCACCATGCAGAGATACCCCATGTTAGCTGTGTGTGTGCCAACTCTGGAACTAGAAGCTGTACAGCTGTGTTAAGGTGGCACTACACATGGGGTGCTGCTGAGAAAATCCTGGGAAGTAGAGCTTAGCCCAGGTACAGCACCACAATGTGACTATACAGATTCTGGTTCTGGAGCCGTTGCATGCAAACTTGGCATGGGATGTATCTACATGGCATTGTGTTGTGGCACACAGATAAGTTCACTGAGTCTAACCCCTTTTCTTTCTTGGGCTTCCTGTGTGCCCACGGGCAAGTTACTTCCGTTCTTGGTGTTTCAGTTTCCTTATCTGTAAAATGGGGATCATAATACTTCTCTACCTGCTGCAGGTGTGTAAAGAGGTTGGTGAACCGTTTTGTAGTTTCTAAGTGCTAATTATTATTAATAGCTACAGCCAGTTGATCCCTAAATTATTCCTCTCTTGTGGCTTTATACCACAGTGATGATGAGCATACAACAAAGGCCTATGCAAAAAAATTACACTTATTCCTGGATGTTAATACTTTATTTGTTAGCATGGCAGGTTGAGATTAAAATTGATTGATGTTGGGTTTCCTGCCTACTGGCAGATATAATGGGTGTAGGCCACCTTCAGAGGAAGGATTCCAGAATCCATCATCCAACGGAGTTCTGCTGTAAAAACATCTGTCTCCTTTCGGCAGGTTATGGATCATTTCAGAGGCATCTTCCTGATGTGATGTAGAAAAGCCTGCTTGACTTGCAAAGTTAGCATGTATGGTATGCAGAACCACTGGTGTGTATGGTAGCTGATCTCTGTTTTTTTTTAATACGGTTCAAGTCTACAAAGTGTCATCAGCAATCTTTTAGGAGAAGAGGTTCATTTTTCAAGGAGTCATGTGAGGTTTTAATTACAGGAGTACCAGTACAACAAATGAGCATCATATGGTTGATTACATAAATTTAACCCTTTTTCCTAGGCTGTATTGTACTTCCAGCTCTCCTGTTTTAACCCATTTTGGGTAAAATAATACTGGCATAGTCTGATGTTGATGAGCCTGGTAAAAATCAGGAATAGGCCCATTAGAGTAGGTGGAGTAAATAGATTTATAGTGATTTTAAAATGTGGGAGAAAAGCTCTGAGCCCATAGTATGTTCAGTACTATCAAGCTCTAAGTGCTGAGTGTTTTTACCAGTTTATTATCAGTGCATTGTTCACTTCTGGACTTAACAGGTTTTCAACTATTCCAATCTTATGATTTGTAGAAATGTGAAGTATTCCTCCCCCTCCTCCCGCCCTTCAACATCTTAGCTCCTGAAGTCCGGTGATTACATCAAAACTCTGGATTTCAGTTTATGAAGAGTAAGTTGGTAGCCCTTGTCACTGTTAAGACAGACTTGCAAATGTGATCCCCTAAAAGCTCCTACATTAGAAGGGTGGTGGTGGTGGGGGGAATCTCTCTTAAATTTATATATTTAACTATCACAATTTCTCAGCAGATCTCAAAGGTTTAAGGGAAGGGTTAACTCCTGATTTTTTGAAGTCTTTAGGTTAGTGTTAATATGCTTCAGAGTAGGTGGATAGGTCATAGTAGTCAGTGGTAGATTTTCCACAAGCAAAGAGCTAAGCCTTTACTTTCAGTCTAGACAAGTGCTATCAGATAATGGGAAACACCAAACAAGAAAGAACAAATGCAAAGTCTTCCTGAGATGAAAGATGATCCCTTTTCATCCCATTCGCAGATCTGGCCCCACATACAGCAAATACATGGGTAGCAAGGCAGGCAGATCCATTGCATTCAAATATTCACTACACAGATTTGTT